CCCCAAAACCCCAAAACCCCAAAACCCCATTATCGTCCTAATATATTGAAAAGAATATGGATCCCATGTATAGCTACGATATGTCAGCAAGCAATGAGGGGACAAAGAAGAACAACAGAGATTTCCAAAATATCAACAGGAGCAACATAGTCAATACTGTAGGTGCAGACACAAGAATTCCAGTATTTGGTGATGCACAGATTAACAGTCAGGACAGGCAGTCTCGCAAAATAAAGCAGGACAAAGCGATAGAGCTTCAAAAAGGCGGGGAACTTCCTAGGAGAGGAACTTTTGATCCACCCACTTTCCAAGAACTTGTGACTAAGTCTAATGAACTCTTTGAGAGCCGGCACCATATTTTATCAAAGCTGAGCTCTAATGGAATTTATGATGAAATGGACGAGAAAGATGAGGATCTAATCGAGCTCATGAAGGATACTCTCAACCAGCCAGACATTATCTACAAGGAGACAGCAAAATCAGTGGTCCAGTCATGAAAGGATTCCTACAGAATACAGAACCTTATTAAGGAAAAAGTAAGCATACATTACTAATGAAATTTAGATATTTGAGACATCCCAATATTCTTCCTTTAAGAACAAGGTCGATGATTTTTACAAGAGGTCTGAAGTCTTCATGCATGCTGTCTCTAGTGATGATGAAGCTCCCTCAAACCTCGACCCAGCCGTCAGATTTGATCCAAAAGAGATACGGAAGAGAATCAAAAACCTACCAAATAGGAATTCTCAGGCTAAAAGTAGAAAGGAAATGAAGAAAAGAGCTAAGAAGATTATCAAAAAGCTTAAAACAGAAGCTTTCGATTGTGAAGACTACAACAGATCTTCCAAAAATCTAGTCGAGTTACAAAGACTCGTACTTAGAAACAAGGTAGGATTCAAAAAGTCTAACATTTTAGGTAAAAAGGGCTGCACCAACAAAGAGAAAGACCAACATTGAGTTTAATCAGAAAACTATCTTGGAACTCAAGAAAGAGCTTGAGAACCTCGTCACCTCTTCAAAAGATATGAAAAGCTTGCAGTATTATGAAGACCAGATATCCTTCTACAGACTGGAGAAAAGATTCAAAGAAAGAGAAAAGGTAAGTAATTCACCGAGATAATCTTTAGGAGCCAGACCGGAATGAACCGAGTGTTATAAACTCCAGCTATAAATTAGTGAAGAAGAATGCAGCTCGGATCCAGAACATCATCATGGACAGTTGAGGTATCCATCCAGAGAAGATTGGATATGAAAGACCTAGGAAAGAGGCATACAAGAAAGGAAACACTATTATAAAAGTAATCGGAGTCACTAAGGAGGACATCCTTTCACTTCCACAGTACAGAATTCAGCCTGACAAAATGCCAACATTCAGCGGTATGTTTGAAAGAAGTGAAGTCCCGGCTGCTGCTAGCACCTCTCTTGGCAACAACAACATGATGGTGAGTAATGTCAGCACTTTCAGCCATACAAAAACTGAGGGATTGCCAGTGATTTCATTATCATTCAATCCTTACGAATGTGACACAGAACTCAAGAAGCAGACCTACAAGAAAGTAATGGCCGATCTGTCTGCTAAAAAGGAGAAATTCAAGAAGCTCGAGCCAGAAATGCGAGAGAAAATGGAAACAATGGCCATCCAGAAAGAATGGGCCATCATCTCCAAGAAGGAGGTTCCAAAAATGGCCAAAGCATTTCAAAAGAACTCTTCTGAAATCGAACAAAATAATAAGAAGATTCTTGCAAACATCCAGAAGGATGTAAAGAAGAGGACTAACAAGATCCTGAAGCCAGCTAGAGAATGCCTCCAGAGAGCCAGAAGGCTCCAAAGAGAAATGCTGACTTACTGGAGGAAGAAAGATAAAGAAATCCAAGAGAGAAAGAAAAAGAGGGATAAAGCTGAAAAAGAGATCAAGAAGAAACAAGATGAGGAAAGAGAAAGCTTAAATCAAAAGAAACGGCTAGAACTTATTATGAGAAAATCAGAGATTTACACCCATTTTATGGCAACCAAGCTGGGACTTGCTGAACAAGATAAGAGAGAAGCCAAGGGAGAGGTCGAAATCGATGAAGCAGAAGCTGAAGCAGCTGTTATTGATATCATTAAGAAGAAAGAGAATGAAAAGAAGAAGTTCAATCTTCCTGTGGAGAAAGATAGATCTGATGAAATCAGACTAGATACAGTCGATACTTCAATGTCAACAGTTTTTAGTCAGCCAAATAGTTTCAAAGGAACACTCAAGGAGTATCAAATTAAAGGACTCAGATGGCTTGATTCTCTGTATCAACAAGGAATTAACGGAATCTTAGCTGACGAGATGGGTCTTGGTAAAACAATTCAAGCTATTTCATTACTCTCACATCTTTCAGAAAACAGAAACGATTGGGGTCCTTTCTGTATAGTTGCTCCAAGTACGACTCTTCATAACTGGAAGAACGAAATTGAGAGATTTTGTCCAAATCTCAGAGTTCTGCCTTATTGGGGAAACTCTGCAGAAAGGAAAATGCTAAGAAAATTTTTCAACCCAAAACACTTAAACATGCCTTACTCACCTTTTCATGTGGTTATCACATCTTATCAGCTAATAGCAATGGATGAGAAGTACTTTAAGAGACCAAAATGGAGGTATATGATCCTTGACGAAGCCCAAGCCATTAAAAACTATCAGTCACAAAGATGGGGAGTTTTACTAAGTTTTGATAGTAGAAATAGACTACTACTCACAGGAACTCCAATTCAGAACTCGATGGCAGAGCTCTGGGCACTTCTTCATTTCATCATGCCTGATTTATTCGACTCCCATGACCAATTCCAAGAATGGTTCTCTAAAGATATCGAATCACAAGCTCTCAAAGATGAAGGTGAGATCAACAAGAGACATCTGGAGAGACTCCACAAGGTCTTGAAACCATTCATGCTTAGAAGAGTCAAGAAAGATGTTGAAAATGAGCTTGGACCAAAGACAGAATACAATGAAATTTGAGAAATGACATACAGACAAAGAACTTTCTACAAAGAGCTAAAAAATATGGTCAAAGGCAAGAATATCATTCAGACGTTAAACGCAAAGAACAAGCTTGAAAATTTGATGAACTTAGTAATGCAACTGAGGAAGGTCTGTAATCATCCTGAGCTTCTTAAGCCAAAGGAGACAAATTCCCCTCTACTCATGATTCCTGCTTCTGATTATGACCGCAAATGCTTATCGACCAAAATCTCAGGGATGAGTACGACCATTCCTAATAAGTATAAAGAAGTGTTTGTGAGAAACTACAATCCAATAAGTTATCATCTTCCAAAGACAGTCTATGATGAATGTTATGGTCTTTGGACCCATCAATGAAAACTAGCAACTAAAGAAATATGGTATGGGCTTAGCAATACCACTAAACAAAGATTCTTCAACATCTATGCAGCCAACAGAGTGTATGAAAATACCTATAATCCCAGTTGCGAACAGAAGTTTAATGATGTACAGATGAGATCATTTACGAAAAATTGCTTCTCTGCACACCTTCTATACGGCTTGACATTTGGAAATATTGAGTATCTATCCCATGCTGACCCATTCCTACAAGTTGTATGTTTACTCCACTTCCTATCAAAGGGTTATAGGAAAAATTACTTCAATCATGTCTTCAACAACTCTGAAGAGATTGTTGAGTTGAAATATGGGTCTATGATGGATGAAGGAATAAGCCTTAGCATAGTTAATCCTAGCCAAACCATCCTCTACTCCTTCACTGAGTATAAGTTATTTGAACAAAATTCTAAGAAAATTGAGGAAGAGAAAATCATCACAGAAGATGCAGTAATGGAAAATACTGAGGAGTCGAAACAAATATCTATGAAGCAGAAGCTAAATTTGGAGGAGCTTCCTCCTCTAGTCTATGAAGATATATCTACAATGAAGAGAGGCCTCGTAGATAACAACGCCAAACTTGAGATTTACCAAAGTGAAGTTATCAGTTGTCCAGTTGATCTCTATTGCCTCAGTTCATCATTTATGGCTAAATTTACCAGAGAGAGTCATAATTTTCATGCAAAGAGGATCATTTTTGGCGGGGAGAGAATCTCTCCCTCAAAATCTACAACTCCAGGAAGACTGTTGAGGGATAAATCCACCCTCCTTCCATGTGATGGGAAGTTAGACCACCTCAATAATTTCCCATGAGCTATAGAAGGAGGAACCACTGATCTGATGCTGTTTAACTCAAAAGGATATTCAGGAATCGAAATCCCAGACTTCAAAAGACTTATCAATGATTGAGGAAAAATGAAAATCTTAGATAAACTTCTCAAGAAATTATACAACGAAAAGCACAGATGCTTGATCTTCTGTCAAATGACTAAAATGATGGACATCATTGAGGAATATCTCTCCTGGATGCAATACCAGTATTTCAGAATGGACGGTTCCACCCAAATTAATGACAGAAGAGATATGGTTGAAGAATACCAGAAGAATGAAAATATTTTCTGCTTCCTTCTATCAACAAGAGCAGGCGGACTTGGTGTAACCCTCACAGGAGCAGATACTGTTATCTTCTATGATAACGACTGGAACCCAACCATGGATGCCCAAGCTACTGACAGAGCTCATAGAATCGGCCAGACAAAGCCTGTCTCGGTCTATAGACTAATCACTAGGCATACTGTGGAAGAAAACATCTTAAAGAGAGCAAAGCAAAAAGAGAATGTGCAAAGCACAGTTTATGCAGGAGGAGCTCTCAGAGCTGATGTTCTCAAACCATCTGAAATTGTTGGATTACTCGTAGACGAAGAAAACGAAGATGATAAAAAGCCAAGAAGTTTTATTAAACCCAAAAGAAAGCCAAAGAAAGAAAAAGAAGAGGTTAAAAAGAAGATTGGAGATTTGGATTCAATAGAGCCTGCTCAAGGAGCTCATAAAATTCATTATCATCACTTAGAAAAGGGTGATAGGAATTTAAAGACTACTGATGAAGATGAAGAAAAAGCAAAAGAAGCTCTCAAATATCTAAAACAGCATAAGAATGAGGATGATAACGAAGAGGATGATGTTAACATAGATAACGAGCTGAAAGATATCCTCGATAATGAAGATGATGCAGAGATCAACCTTGAAGATGACGAGGTTGATAAAATCCAGATTGATGAATCATAATTTATCCCTAACTAATCAATTTATTTTTGACCACTTGGGGTTTTGGGGTTTTGGGGTTTTGGGGTTTTGGGGTTTTGGGG